CGGGGGCAGCGGCGCCCGCCCGCCCGCCGGCGCCGAGACTTGCGGCGTCTGACTCACAGCTGCGCTTCCAGGAGCCTGCGCGTGGGGAGACCCGCGGCCACGGCCTGCGCTTTCCTGGTGGGGGAGCTGGAGCCGGGCCGAGGGGGCAGGGAGGCGGCTGTTCTCAGAGAGGAAGGGACGCGCCCGGCGGTCAGCCCCGGCCGCAACTGCGCACGGACAGACGCACAGACCGGGCACCGGGGGCGACCGCGCCCCACTGAGGGCCCCTGGGGTGGGCGCGGGCGGCGGAGCCAGGAGCGGTCACGTTCCCTGGGAACTTGTTCGGTTTCTTTTATTTCCGAACCTGGTGAATTCACTGCCCAGGGCCGGGATGGACAGCGGGGCGTGGGCGCTCACCCCTTTCGGTGCCGAGGAGGACACTGCCCACCTCTGGGTGGCCTCCTGAGCTGGCGCTGGGTCAGCAGGAAGCGGGTGCGGTCATCCCGGGGCGGGGTGAGTGAGGAGGCGGCGGGAGACTGACCCGCAGGCTCTGGGGCAGAGGGGCACGCGGCCGCTGGCCAGCTGTGGACACCAAGCTCCCAGTGCCAGGCCTGGATTGCAGAGCACAAGGTCGAAGCACGTGCAGGTTGTCCAGCACAGGCCCAAGGGCGAAAGACAAGGAGCTGGCGCCCTCCGCGTCTCCTGTCCCTTCCCGAGCCTCTAAGTCCTCGAGCCCAGGCCCCCAAGGGGTGGGCCCCAGGAGGGCTGTCCCGCGGGCAGCGACCAGCCCACCGCCCTCGCCCAGTCCTGCCCACGCCCTCGCCCTCCAGCTGGCAGCCGCCTCCCGCCGGCCGGTGACCTGTGACTGCACCCGCGGGCTGCTCTGCACTGACCCTCAGCACAGGCCGCTCCCCCAAGGCCCCCGTGGACCGACCGCAGGCCCAGCCCAGCACCTGCCCCCTGGGCAGCGCTCCCGTCCTTCAGGCCTCTGTCCCTTCCCCAGTAAACCTGCCCTTGAGCTGTGACGGAGCCTGTCTCGTGGAGACGCTCGCCCCGTGCCGCTGAGCGGGCTCTGGGACACCTTCCCCAGGGAACCCAGGGCCCCCCCACACTGACTCCGGAAACATCAGCCCCCTCGAGCCGTCCAAGCAAACTCAGCCGCTCTCTGGAGTAAAACGCGGCGGCTCAGAGTGCCGGGAAGGGCTTCCTTGAGCTCGCGGGGTCCCCCTCTAAGTGCGGCCCCCAGCCGCCCGACACGACCTCCTTTGTTGCTGTTTCGGAGCTGCCTGGGTCCCCAGAGGACCCCACCCCGGGCCTGGCCGGCAGGTCCTGCCCGCCAGCCCCATCCCAGAAGGTTCCGGGGGCTGGAGACCTGCACGGGCCCCTGGAAGCCCAGAGGGGGGCGGTGGGGGTCTCGTCCCCGCCCCCACAGGCCAGCGGGCACTCGGGCAGAGCAGTCGTCCCTGCTGGAGCTCGGGGTCCTCTGCTCTGGCGCCCACGGCACA